ACACACACACACACACACACACACACACACACACACACACACACACACACACACACACACACACACATTCTCTCACACACACAAACACACACACAAACAGAAACAAGACAAGAGGAGACAACAGATGAGACAAGAGGAGACAAGAGAGGAAACAAGAGGAGACAAGAGAGGAAACAAGAGGAGACAACAGATGAGACAAGAGGACCTAGACTGGACTAACACTGGACCTAGACTGGACTAACACTGGATCTAGACTGGACCTAGACTGGACTAACACTGGACCTAGACTGGACTAACACTGGATCTAGACTGGACTAACACTGGACCTAGACTGGACCTAGACTGGACCTAGACTATAGAACCAGGGAGTATTAACACATTAAAGTAAGACAGGTGTTTGACTGTGTATTGACTGCACTATACTGAGCATGTGTGACTCTGTGTCCTGCTGTAGCTGAACAATGAAGACCTTTCACCTGTTCAGCATCATAGCTGCTGAACATCAGCGTGCTGGCAGGACTCACTGGTTCATCCTCTGCAGGCTCTGATGCTGCCTCCAGCTTCAGCTCTGACTTATTTAAGTTCACTTCACAACACACACACGTCCAACGTGTTCTACAGAAAGTGGCCACTCTCTGTTTGTTCAAAAGAAAACAGACAAACTCCCTGTTAACAGAGCTTGTAATGTGTGTGTGTGTGTGTGTGTGTGTGTGCAGACATTAGACTAGTGATGCAGCAGTGATGTCGACCACACACACAAAATCAGTTTCATGTTCAATTACACATCATCTGTTCATGCGAGCTGAAGCTTCTCCACCGTTTATGTTCTCATAGCAGCTGCTGTCTGTCTCTCTGTCTGTCCACTTCAGCTACTGGAGATGAGGCGTTTTGCACGACGGAACTTTGACTGCAGACAAGAGGACCAGACACAAAAGAGCGAAATGAAAAAGGAAAGAGAGGAACATGTGAAAGCTTTCTCAGCCCTCTGGACAGTTCAAAGAACAGAGGAGGAGGAGGAGGAGGAGGAGGATAGATGTTGAATGCTGCAAAGAATTTAAAGAAACTGAAACAGTCTCAATGATTTACTGATGTCTCTTTAAGTAAACACGATTGTCTATTTGTATAGAGTTATTCTAAATGCGCCTCCTCCTCTTCCTCTTCCTCTTCCTCCTCCTCCTCCTCCTCCAGGAGCAGAGCTCTTTCTCTCTGCTGGAGATCCAGAACATATTGCTGGACCCGCTGGAGGTGAAGGGGGACACAGGAGAACCAGAACCAGAACTGAGAGGTTGAGACCTGAACCTGCTGCAGTAGAACGAGAGGTTTTCTAAAGGGACTCACTACCACTGTAGTCCACAGGGGGCGCCAGAACCAACACTATGAAGGCTCCTCGTAGTAGCTTTATCCTCTCACTGGAGAACGTACGGAGAGGAACTAAGACTGCTCTTAATAAATCTCTGTAACACAATAGTGATCGAGTGTATGACCCACTGATGAACATACTGCAACACTTATATATTTAAAGTATTATGAACTGGCAAAAGAAATGTTGTATTCCATTTTTATGTTTTATATTTTATTTAAAATAGCACGTTAGCATTTAATATCAAAGAATCCAGACCGATGAACTCTGCACAAAATGTCTTTCTGTAATATTTCAACCCTTCCATCAGAGGCTCAGTCACCATTGTATTACCTCCTTCAGTGACAGACTAACAGTTATTCTAAATAACTTTAATCATAACTGTGATACACGCTGTGCGACAAACGCTGCGTCCTCACCTGAGTCGGCGCTGTACATGTAGACGAACCTGGTCCAGTAGAAGTGCTCCAGCAGGGCCATGACGGGCTCCTGCAGCTGGGGCCGCAGCTGCAGGACGAACTGGTTGTTGGTCTGAACTGGGAAGGACGGCGTGACGAAGCAGACGTGCAGGGAGCCGCAGAAAGACATCAGCATGTTGACCGTCCGCCGGTCGTACAGACCCATGATGGCGTACACGCCCTTCGAGAACTGAGAGCAGACTGGGAGGAGGAAGAAGAAGAGAGGGTCATTAAAACAGAGCTCATTGTTTTCTTCATCATCAACAAGGACAGAAACTCAACGTGGAACATGACTACAAAGACATGACCACAAACTCCTGACGAGCTCAGAGGAGAGCACCCTCACACCTCAAATGTATCAATGTTCAAAATTAGTCTTCAGAACTAGAAGAACATCTTGTTGTTTTGACCGTTTTCTGACCATCTCCATCTTGGTATTTACAGAGTTTGGCTGTATAGTATGAATATGAATCTGTTCGTCATTTATTGGTCCAGAACATGACAGCTTCCATATCGACTCTTCTTCATCTCGTCTTTAAACCAACACACACACACACACACACACACACACACACACACACACACACACACTTCCCTTCACATGTTTATGTTTTTAATCTGAGTTTTAATCTGCACACAGGGCAGCAGAATCTCCACTCTGCAACAAGTGAACAGACCATAACCAGTGGACGGACGTGATTCCTGCTGCTGTGTAGCTGATGAAGGCTTCCACGTGTTTAGTCTCAACACTGAAGATGCTCACGTGGTTAGTCTCAACACTAAAGACGCTCACGTGGTTAGTCTCAACACTGAAGACGCTCACGTGGTTAGTCTCAACACTGAAGACGCTCACGTGGTTAGTCTCAACACTGAAGACGCTCACGTGGTTAGTCTCAACACTAAAGATGCTCACGTGGTTAGTCTCAACACTAAAGATGCTCACGTGGTTAGTCTCAACACTAAAGACGCTCACGTGGTTAGTCTCAACACTAAAGATGCTCACGTGGTTAGTCTCAACACTAAAGACGCTCACGTGGTTAGTCTCAACACTAAAGATGCTCACGTGGTTAGTCTCAACACTAAAGACGCTCACGTGGTTAGTCTCAACACTGAAGATGCCCACGTGGTTAGTCTCGTACAGCTGCTGGTATTACTGGAACAATAAGATGAGAATAACCACGCTGCATGGAGGAGCTGAATATGTAGTCAGAACAGCCACAGCTGGTTCTTCACATTAAACATCTGTTGTTCCCGATGAGACCGACACAGTAAAGCTCTTCTTTAAATATAAGGTCCTTTAATCAGCGACCGCTTCATCTCTTATGTTTGATCTCCACAGAACAGAGGAGCTGCTGTGATTGGTCAGAAGTAGAGAGGTTACCTAAACACAACCACGCTGCTCCATCCCTTCAGGTGACACATGTGTGTGTGTGTGTGTGTGTGTGTCCTTGGTGTGCAGCGCTACCACGCTAACAACACGCCCGGTCCCTCTGAGCAGGCTGGCCCTGGAATAACCCCCCCCCCCCTTGGGGCCATGCTATCATGCTAACAATAGCCATGCAGCCTGAGGCGAATGCTATCATGCTAACGAGGTATCTGTCCCTTAGCATTAGCGCTGCTGTCCTGCTGCTCCATCACGGAGGGGACGGATGCTGAGAGCCCTGCTGGGAATCAACAACAACAACAACAAGGCTGTCATGACGATCCAGATGTGTACATCCTGAAGGATCTAATGTTTGTTTCCTTTGTTCATCTTAATGGATGTGTGCTGATCAGTGTTCACTCATGTATTGTAGTGTTAAACTATGACACTGTGAACATTGAAGATATAATAACGTCAAAATAACATTAATATTGCATCACAATACAAGAATGACTTCATAAATATCCTCTCATCATCAGCTCATTCTGATGAGCTGATGTCTTCTTACAGTTTTGACAACAGACAGAACTTCCTGTAACTGGTCCAACATCCTCCAGATGTTTCCACATAGAAACACAGAAACCTGCTTCAGTCTGATCTGGACCGATGAGGAGGCGTGAGAGTCTCAGCTCGACTCAAACACTAACTAAAACTAGAAGAGACCTCCAGCACCGTCTCCACTGGTGTACCAGCCCCGTGTTTAACGGGGTCTTCTTCATGCTGGGCTCATACGCTTCATATCACATCTTACTCTGCATCTTTCATTTTCCTTACAGAAGTCCAGCAACAGTCTTTTTCAAATAAACGTTCTTCACAATTTAGTAAGAAAGAACAGTTCGTTTGTCTCGTCCACCTCTTCTCCCACCTTGTTCATACTTCCTTGTTCACGTCGATAACTAAATTAAACGTGTGAGTCTACGAGCTGCAGCGCGTTAGTTTCTGTTGGTAACGCTACCAACGCTGGATGAGATCTGCAAGCCCTCCAAGTCTCATGACGATGACAAACAAACCAAACTCCTCCTGCTGAATGTCAACACAACCTTCCTTTAACATAGACCAAGACAAGCGTTGGACAAGGACACTGGTGGCAGAGCCTGAGCTGACCTCGTCCCCACTGGGGGTCCTCCAGTCAGACATCTCAGTCCTCGCCACCCGAGGCTTTTAGACAGAGCTTTATTTAAACACAGCCCAGAGATGACGACGAGCGCCACGGGCCCCACAGCTGAGACCTCTGCTCCCCGACGCAGAGCTGCTCGTCCTCTGACACGTCCGTCCGTCCTGCAGATCTGTCTCTCTGTGACCAAACACAATCACAGGAGAGACAACAACGACGGGCTTATTTGGCGGGTGATTGTGAGGATGTCTGTGAACCTGGAGGCCTTCACCGTCATCCTCCTCCACTGTCTCCGCTCACCACCACGACCCGCTCAGAGTTCTAACGCTCCCTCTGCTGAGAGGACGAGACAAGGCGGCCCGGAGACACTCGTCCAACAATCAGGTCACTGTTTCTGTCCGTCGCTCAGTATTCACCTCACTTAGTCCACCGCAGCGAATGATGGAGACGTTTACAATACAAGTTCACAACCAACGACGTTACAAAGTCACACACGTCCAGAGTTAAGTCACGCTTTAAGAGGCGCCATCTCTGGTGGCCTGAAGACCCGACTATGTCCTCCAACCTCTGTCCCCTCACTTCCTGTCAGCTCTCTAGAGAAGAGTCTGGGGTTAGAAGTAAACAAGCCGCCATCAAACACTACAATGTATGACCAGCAGAGCACTTTGACTACCCTCTCGTACACACAAGGACCATATGTAAGAAGTGGACGAAGTCGTTGTGACGTCACTCATTGGTTTGTGGACTGATGTTATGAAGCCTCGAGTTCAGAGACCATCTTGGATTACGGCCGTCACCATTGTGGTTTCTTATCAACCAGTGAACAGGAAGTGACCATATCAGGACTGAGGAGGAGTGACGTAGAGACGCCGTACACGTCTCTGGTAGAGACCTGTCAATCACCGTGTAGCCCCGCCCTAAAGCATCCCCTGCTTATGTATATATTTTATATAGTTCCTCCGTCTGGGGCCACAGCTCCACCTTTATCTTTAAGCTCCTCCTCCAGTGTAATATTTTATGGTCCCACCAAAGTTTCACTTCCTGACGTCAGGATCATTTACAGATGTTTCATTCTGCAGAGTCCAGGCAGGTCTCTCCTGACACCACTATCTCCAGGTTCCAGAGAGCATTTTTAAACATTGAATCAAACAGGTTACATGTTAATCACTTACATCCTACTCCACTAACACTAGTTCATACTGTATTCATAGATGTTGCTCTGAGCTGCTTGGCTCACCGAGACAAATCAAACGCCAACATTACAACATCTTAAACAAATGAACAGAGGCGATACGAGCTGTCCATCTGGCAGCCTCGACCTGAGGCTCTAATTAACGTGTTTAGTCGCGATGCTGAATAATAGATGAAGTGGCTGCTGCCTTCCTCAGGGCGACGCACCGCACACACAACCTGAGACATGCTGATTCAGACACACACTCACGAGTCTAAAGTCAGCTAACCGCCGCCTCCGAGGCAGCCAAGCATAATCTCCCGCTGACACACACAGAGAACGGTTGTAGGTTTATATCCCATCTGGGGTGCTCAGTCCGAGTCTCGCCTCTGCCGTACGTTTGGATTTAACTCACAGAGCAGCCTCCGTAAGAACCGCTGCAGTTCTCCAGCAGAAGAAGAAGAAAGTCTGCTGATAGTTTAGCAGCTTTCTGAAGCAAGTTCGGTATTTTCACCGCAGAGAATAGCTACAAACAATCAGACATGATACAGCTCAGTACACAATCCTCACCATAGGGTCTGGACTTTAACAAAAGTAGAGTTATAAACGGCAGCAGCAGCGTTTATTCTACGTAAAAGTTTGATTAAAAAGACTTAAATGAAGTGGATCACCTGATGTAGAGACACTTAATCTGATGTTAACGGTTGTTTGACGGTTGCTCTCTAGCTCGTGAGCCGCCATGTTGGAGCGACGTCGATGAAAACGTAACACGATCGGCAACACTTTGGGTTAAATAAGTCAAATATCGAGACTATAGAAAATGATTGTTCTTCACGTTGGTTCATGAAGGCACAAACGTTTATATAAATATGAAACAAGACGCAACGAGAGAAATGTTTAAAGAGACAAATCCAAAAACAGGAGGAGGACCTCAGGAGGAGCTTAAAGGAGAGAGGACAGGAGACAGAGAGGAGAGAGGAGAGAGAGAGGACAAGAGACAGAGATGAGAGAGAGAGGAAAGGAGAGAGAGGAGAGAGAGAAATGAACATTTAAATGAGTGTTCTTGTATTCCAACATGACTCCTGTGTTTGTCCGTCAGCGGACTGAGAATGAAAGAGAAGCAGAGCGTCTGACCTTCTGTTTAGCTTCTTGAACATAATTTAATTTAAGATAATCTCTCTGATTCTTCACCAGATTGTGTTGTTGGAGATACAAACAGCTGCTCTTCATCCTGTGAGATGTTCAACTGAGCGTGAAGCTACGACTGAGTCACCAGCTCCCTCCTCCTCTTCTTCTTCTTCTTCTTCTCTCCACTTCCTGCCTCCAACGTGATGCCTCCTCTAGTTTGAGTTTTATACACCAATAAACAATTAATATCACGACGTGTCCTTCTGTCGACTCCTGGTAAGAGAAGTCCTGGCAGCCAAACACCAGAGGAGGAACACCATTTCATTTAGCCTCTTCCTCCTCCTCTTCCTCCTCTTGATGTTCAG